TGGCCAAGTACTCTGGATACCTGGCTCCTGGCTCCCGCCTCATCCAGTTCTGACTGTTGGGGGCATTTGAGAAGTGAACCAGAAGATGGAAGATGAAAAAACCTGTGTGTGTGTGTGTGTGTGTGTGTGTGTGTGTGTGTGTGTGTGTCCTCTTCCCTCTCTGTCACACTGCCATTCAAGCTCATAAGTAAATTTTGAAAAACAAAATCAACTGTGCACATGGTCTGAAAGCTTAATAGAACCAACCCCATACAATGCCACATATCAGTTTATTTCTTTTTAACAATAAAGACCTTCTATATTTCTCATGTGGGACATCTAAAAATGCACTGACGTGGCCATTTCATTATCTTGGAGTCTCGCTTTCAACAGCAGCACAGACACACACAAATCAACCTCCATACACATCACTGACAGCTCACACGACTACCACTACCATCATTTATTCAAGTTTTCAAATTAAAATCCATTTTCTTTTATTTTATATATCAACAATATTAAGTAGAATCAACATTCAATGCCCTTTGACATTTTTATACTAATACTAATAAAAAAAATAACTAGGCAATCTTTGCATAATTATGTGAACACCTGACTGATTATATTCCCAGCCAACTTTGCTTCAGTCACAACCAAGCGCCAACAGTATGAATGATGGGCATACTGCTCCCCACTGCACGTGCACTATTTCTGAACCAAGGCTCTTTTTCAGCTGGGTATTTTCAGTACATTTTCCTGACTGTGCAATCATCTCCCAGTTGGACAATTAGTAAATGCGTTTTCCCCACTGTGCTTGAGGTGGACCTCGCCCTTACCCTGCATCTTAGCATGGACTCTATACCTTCTTCGCTCTGGCTGGTTCTGGCAGTGACCTACAATCTAAAACTCTTTCCTCCCTTTGCTATATGGGAAACCATAATTATCTAAGGCTAATTTCAAATTACTACTTTATTCCACTAGCAACTGATGAAGATTAGTGGGCTTGCCTTGCATCGGAGGAAGGCAGCAACATAATCACAAGAGAACTCAGCAGGCCACATTTGATTCATGTGATCTCAATTACTTCTGTCAAACACCATTCACGTCAGTAACAAGCAGAAATGTTCAAAACGGGTCTTTTGCTAAGCATTTTGTATTCAAAAAATGTTTTTCACATGTCTCTTAAGAGAAGAAAAATAGCAGACATGTCATTAGAAAGAATAATAAATAGCAAGTAGGGAAACATACTTGGATAAATAGGTTTGGGATAAGCTTTGTTTCTCAACATAAAGAACATTTCAAAGAAATAAATTTGTGTACTTCAGCAGCTCATTACTGGAAATTCAGGCATAAAATTAAAACTAACAAAACAAATCTACACTATACTTTTAGTTGGTAAAATTGAGATGGGAGTACTTCGGTAAAACCAGATTATTACAGGAAAGGAACTGCACCTGTGTTTACAGAAGTTAAGTGAGGAGATGTGGAATTAGCAAGGACTCCTGATTCACTGCTCCAAGATCCTGTGGCTTGAGACCAAGTGTTCATGGACCAGCCAGCATCCTGAACACTGAAAATGCATCTTCTCAGACACCAGTCAGCTCCATTATACACCACACATGTAACAGATCATGGGCATGGAAGTATGCTGTCATCTTCCACCAAATTTTAATATACTATGTTAACTATTAAAACGGATATATTCAAACCTCAGATTCTTATTATAATTATATTCTTAATTAAATCCTAACAGTGAGGTTATCAAGGAAGCTGGGTAATTAAATATCATTAGAGAATAAGGTCATACTATAAATATATTTTGATATGTAGAAAATCCACTGAGATGGTCTTTATCATACCTAATATAGGAAGTGTCAATCACATGTGATTTAATAATCCAAACTTCAGAATATGGTCTGATCGTCATAGGATTAAGGAAGGTTCAATTTAAAGACATGTTTGTCAATTTTCAGGAACACCAACAAGAATTTCAGATATAGCAAGACGAAACAATACAAATGTGAGATAAATCAACAAAAGGCAGTGTTTTAAATCCAAGACTGAGGACTTCGCACGGCCTCTCTTGTTTCCTTGGAATCTACCTCCATCCTGTTGCGATTCGGTCTCTTTCTCATTCATTAAATGAAAACAATCACTGCTGATATCAAGGACTTTGTAGTACAACTGGGGTGGGAAGAGTCTTTACTCCAGTTGCTGATCAACGAACCTTTGCAAAATGGTACATTGAAAGAATTCTACGCAGGGAGATTGAATGAATTAACACCAGCGAGCCTTGACCTTGTCAGCGAAGCAGAGATACAGGAGCACAGGTGGGAAGGATCAACATCATCAGCAGGCATAAAGGAAGTGCAGAAATATTCCAGGGGAAGAAAATAAAATCATGAAAGAACAAATAGTAAAAAATAAACAAACTTCCTTTAGGAAATCGAAAAAAAAAAAAATCTGCTGTGGCTACTGCAGAGGGAGGGATCCGAGCTCACTTTGGGATGAGTCTGGGTAAAAACCACCCTGGACCGTAGGACACTGACAAACACTAAGCCTGAAGAAAACAGCTGGATGTGCGCAGGACCCAGGGCATACTTGGCAAGAAAAGGACTGCGCATGTACAGGATGTATATGGATATTGATATGGATATGGATAGCACGGATATGGTTCAAAAATCAAAATTTCTAGTCATTCATTAAATCTGAAAAACAAAATTTTAGCAAGGCAGGCTGCTAAATTGAAGGACAAAGGAAGCAGAAGTAGATGGTTTTAAGAGAGAACTTGGTGGACCTGCAACAAACATTTTAGGAAGGATTGAAACTGAGTGCCCAGGAAGATGGCAAAGATGCTTCTGAACTGTCTGCCTTCGCAGGAAGTAGAGTTCTAAAGACTTGGTGATCAGTGCAAGTCAGAGCCAGGATGGCACTTACCCTACACACCTCATCCACCCAGTCCTCACCCATGCACGTCTTTACATACAGACAAAAAGACAGCCAGAGAGTATACTTGTCCAAAGCAAACACCCGACAGATACTTGCTTGCACTGAGTTACTCACTAAATGTTTTAAGTACTTTGCGTTGTATGCCTACAATGGCATACACTGTTTACTGTACAGCATCAAGATTCACAGAGCCTCAATTGTACACCACACTTGTTGGGCTGTGTGGTCTAGAGACGACCCGTCACCCACAGCTGGAGTTCACGGTAATTCAGTAAAGTGGGCTACAGTGCACACTCCTCAGTTAAGCCCACTGTCTCACAATTCAGCACTTCCTCCCTACTTAGGAAAGTGCAAGCAAGAACGCGGAAGTGTGTGAATGCTCGCACTAACATTCTGTCAAAACACTAGCATCACGATATAGTTCATAGGCACAGGAAACTGTTCTAATCACACTGCGCAAATTCTGTCCTCCATAACTACAGCTCTCTCTCTCCTCCTCTGTCAACCTAAACGAAAGCAAAAGTCACTCGCGAATTCCACAAAACGGTATGAACAAGTAATCAACTATAGCACGCTGCCATACAATACTATTAAGTAAATGTTTGAAATGTAAATCATGGTTTATATTTACATTATTTTAAACTAAAACAGGTTCATGGCCCTGATCTTATAATTCTTGATTTGGATTTCTTCACTTAACATTGAACCTGAACTGAACCAGCTGTAATGCTCAAAAATGAAAGTTAACGTTTTTAAATGCAATCAGGAAAAAGCTGTGATTCATTTCACCGAGAGCCTTACACACAGTTCAGAAACATAATGTTAATTTGAGAGGACTGTCAGGTGTGTGTGTGTTTCTAAATCCAGTGCAGGCAGTTGTGTTCTATTTGAAAAAGTGAATTCATTTAGAGAGCAAAGCAAAAAATGCCAAATTGAAGCTGGTGCTCAAAGAGGAAACTTAAGTGCAAGAATAATTAACCAAATTCATGAAAATGTACAAGCGATTTTACTTGTTTCATTTCTCTGGATCTATGCTCCATCTGCAGTCAACACTAGGCGAACAGGCGAGTCGACTCACATGCTACAAGCGGCATCCCGACAAAAGAGGCCATGGGGCACAGGGTGGGACCAAGGCACCAGGTCGGTATTCAACTGGCCCCAAATGATGCACATGAAAGCCCGAACATGTCACATAAAATACGATTTGGGCTCACAGAAAAAAAAAATGATTATTTTTAATGGGATGAAATAGCTACTTTACTCCCCAAAAGCTGGCTTCCCTCTGCTCAAACATCAAGTGTTACCCTGTTGCAGAAAACCCCAGGATCCAAGTTTAAAAGGCAACTCACCACAGTGCGGCCAAACGAGGAGCCATCAAATGAATAGGGAGGCATGCATGGTCGAGTTTCAATTTAAAGGAAAAATTAAAGCAGAAAAGAAGTCTCCAAGGGCAAATTGCTTTGAAACAGCATTTGCCCATTGGCTCTATCACCAAGTAGCTCTTTTTGTGGGGCGCGGCTTATTATGCTCCTAAAATGGATCTGTAGATTTTAAAAAGCAAGCATGTAACAGCAGCCACATGCAAATACCATAAACTAAGTCCGGTGAGCTTACAAATGTTTTGCCCTGAAGTTCATATGGCTGAACTCACTTCTGAAGAGTTTTCAAAAGTAAGCCAAAACAAACCTCAGGAAAGAACCTTCATTTTTGAATTTCATACAGTAAGTCAAGTGCAGCAAACAGCTTCATGGAGAGGAATTAAACAGTAGCAAACAATAACCAAGCGGTGCAAGGTATTTAATTCCTTGATTCGGATCATTCAAAACTAAAACTTTCGAATGCAAAGTGAAACTCCGCGGGTATCGATTATGCAGAGCCAATAAATTACTGCACTAAGTTTTTGATCACTGCCAGGCATGCAGTGCTTTTGAAAAGACAGAAATCAGCGTGCAAGAGAAACACTCTCCACAGATTAACAGAGTAAAAGATCACTAGTTCACAACCTTGGGTGGAAGCGCACACACGCTGGAAGTGAGGGACGTGGCCGCCGTGAAACCGCAGGCAAGTCTTACCTTGGCAGGTGCCATTTCTCTCTTCGTACCCGGCCTTGCACATGCACTTCCCGATGGGCACCAGCCACTCCCCCTCTGCGCTGCAGTGCATCCTGGGAGGTTCATCTGTCACTGAATGGTTGACACAGGAACCTGACACTTCCAGCAACTGCGAAGAATCTGCTCCAGTGATGGTGTCGGGGAAGACAGCCAAGTGTCGCACCACGGAAGGGCACTTTTTATAGTACACACGCACAGAAACGAGAGCAATGCAAGCACCGACGTCTTGGAAGGCAAGATAGAAGCCCTTTTTGGTGAGCGGCCCCACATCCCTGACCTCCGTGTTCAGCTTCATGACGCGGTCACCGAGATCAAGTTCTGTAAAGCTCTCATCAGCGGCGATGGTGTCAATTTTGATGTACTGATTTTCCCTGATGCTTCTCCCGTTTTCATCATTGGACTCAAAGTAATACATATTGAAAGTTTCTTTGCAGGTTCCCAGGCCTCCGGGAAGGCTGTTGCAGTCCCGCAGGGTGAACTTAAGTTCTATGAAAATTCTAGAAGCACCTTCGTTGGAGATCCAACTGGTCAAAAGCCAGTTGTTCTGATTCTGTTCCATAACTTTGCATACTTGATAGGTGTGGATAGGGGCGTAGTTTTCATCCACTTCGCCAATTTCTTCCCACTGCACAACAAAAATGAGAAAGATGAATATTCAAATAAATGGAAGGAAACCGGGAACAATCACAAAAACACATCACAAGGAAGAATAAGCCACACAAATGCCTCGAGCCTTGACATGCACACAAAGATTTGTCAGGAAATGTCACAGAAACTGAAATTCAAAAATCAGCTATTTGGATGTAAAGAAGTTCTGAAATCCATTTGTGGTTTTGTTTAATACTTATTATGATTTTCTGGAAGTACAGCATTGAGACAACAAGGTCAATACAACATGTTGGGAGAAAATAAATCACTTTTTTTTTAATTTTTCCCTTTGAAGTTAAGAACTTGCATCTTTCATTACACCCCATAAACCAAAGATGAACGTATAGGATTGACTGATATGCTCCACAGTAGAAATGTGCATTTCAGAGCAAAAGAGAAAAGAAAATTGAATATGAATGAGGTTAATGAGAAGAACAAAGAAAGTATATATTTGGAAGAATAATAAGCAGGGGAACAAATAGTGGAGACAATATTTATTATGGGAAAGAGGAGAACAATTTATAAAATTATAAGTTTTCTATAATAACTAAATGTGGGAAAGAGGAAGAAATTTTAATGTTCTCAAACAGCCAGTTATTTCATCCTGTCAAGTTAAAAATAACAAATTAATGTTGTAATAAAAACTGATACAAAATTCATAAATTTAAAATTAATAATAGATATTTCATTGAACCCATCTACTCAATACCCCAACAGAAATTCAATAGTTAAAGGCTTATTCATTGATTTGTTATCAGATATAGAAATATAGTAGAGTTTTTTTATGTTTCTTCAGCAACACACTACTCATTCAGTAGCATGTTATTTTATTTCATGGTGTTGCTAACTTATTTTTCCTTCCTGTTGTTGATTTTGTATCGTGGCTTTTCATTTAAGGGGATGTATAGCAATGGCTTAATGGAGACTAACATATCTAGTAGCATGCTACTTAACTTTATGGCATTGTAAATTTCTATTTTTCTTCCCGCTGATTTTGCATTGTGAGTTTTCATTTAAGGGGACGTACAGTAATTGTGTAATGGAGACTATCACATCCAGATGTGAGGATACAATGCAGTACGCATCTCTATTTCCAAAATAAAGATGGACTCCCAATGAAATTGTTTACTGTATCTTGACAATAGGATGCTGGACTCTCTGCCATTGTCCATGCCCCCAGTGATGGACATATGACTGTTTATGAAGAACTATACTATAGTAATAATATAGGGGAACTCAGTGGGGGGGGGGGGTTGGGGAAGGGATAAGGGAAATCCCACGTGCCTATGGAACTGTATCATAAAATGAAAAAAAAATGATAATAAAAAGAAGTAAAATTTTCAAAATTGTAGATTGATAAAAGATGATCCTGTCATCTCAAAATAACTGACTTCTTGTTACAACCTGGGAATGCATTAATTCTGCCTTAACAATGTGCTATTCAATGCACAACAAGCTGAAGATTTCTGGAAGCACATCAGACATTGAAAACAATAACTATGGCTTACACAGCTTCAAAAATGTCATCCAGGTAAGGAGATACAAGCGTCCTCCTTTAAAGAGAAACACTCCAATACTGAGAAAGTCAATGCGCTATGAGGATTTCTTCAACAGTATGGAACCAAATTTTTATTCTTCATAATGATGTCATTATAGCATAAAAAATTCCTTAAGTCTTTTTAGAATTTGAGAGTATAAAAAGTACATATAACTTTTACTTCAATCGTCAATGTTCGAATGTAACACAGCATTAAAATCATGCTAACTTTCAATAAATTTAAAATGAGCAGTTTAAGATAGTAAATATTATAGATAACATATTTAACACATTCATCTCTTTACACATGAAATGCAATACACTGTTAGTTCTTGACCCTGTTCGGTTGACAAAAACGTCAGTAATGGGAAATCAAAGATGCATGCAAACAAATATCTTACCTTCACTAGCCTCTCTCAAAATTTTAGATTTCATGTGACACAAATAAATAAAAGGTGATAATGAGATATAATTCCTAAGCTCCCGAAATGTAGCCATCAAGATTATATCTGACATAACAATTTACAGGTATCTTGCAATGTACAGTATTCATGTTCTGATTTAATCTCTGACCTCTCTCAAAAAGCATGTAAACTCTGCTTACCCTGTGATTTCCTAAGTCAGCTTCCTATTTTATCACGTCATTACACCACTTACATTTTTTCACCAATATCTTTACTATAAACGGCTCTTAAATGTCATGATTAATGCTTCATGCAAAGGACCATCTCAACTAATCAAATGAAAACAAAAAAGCCATTTATTCGGAATAAAATTCATTAAAATGTCTTTGAATTAGTAAAACGGACATAAGCATAAAAAAATCATTCTTCTCCAAGAAAGGTTTCAAAATCTACCTTAATGTTACTTCAAATCTTTTTATGACAGTTTTCCAGTATGAAAGTCGAGAATTTTAAATAAAATGCATTAAATCACTCATGTAACATAAATTGTTGCATTATTCGTTTAGCAGCTTCTTGTTAGCAAGTAAAAGCAAGAGGAGTATCAACACATTCCAAGATTTTAACCTGGACAACTCACTTTCCCTGCCAGTGCAAACATCCAGGGAACCAAGGCACCTTTGGTTGTCAGAATCTGAGTGTTTTTGCCAGTGTGGTTCACCAAATCCAATCATGGTGGACAGCTCTGCTTCTTCAGATCCTTAGTGCCCCAGAGCTCATCCTTGGGGCCCATGCAAGTCTCTATGATTCTATGTCATTGCTGACGATGACGGGGCTAGATACACAGAGTCCAGGGACTGCATGCCCAGGCTAGCTACTCTTCCCTCAGGGCACAGAGAGCTCCCAGTCAGTTGAAGCCTCAACCCACAACTGGCTGGGTATCCCACGTCAGTTACATCCAAAGAAGTAGCAAAAAGGTAAAAATGACTTATTTTTAACAGCCATATTGGTTTCACTGGATTCCCAACATTCAAGTCACCCAAGCTGTCAGCTGCTCCCTGCATTGCTTATCTGCATTGTGCCCCACACGTGGGCTCTCTCCCACAACACTGTTAGTTCCAATCTCATTTTCAAACCCCCAAGTCACACAACTCTTTCTTTTCCTCTAAAACTTGAAAATTCTGACTCAGAAATTGCAGAATGACTCACATACTCAAATCCTCAATCGCAAGCTTAACGGCAATCAAACTCATTTAGACCTTTAGATGCACGTTCTCGGATAACTTGAAACACGACGGCCTTGCTTTTCAGACTTCCGTGGACTCAAAGGACAATCCTAGCAATGCTTTTGGCACAGCAGTGTAAAAAATATGACCCAAAATCGCACTCTCCAGACCTTTCCAACACCTGCCAAGCACGACTTCCTAGTAAGTCCCTGTTTATCACCTAAAGCCTGTTTCGACCTTATTGGTACATGCCGATGATTCCTTTACATAATGATATTTTATATAAAGGGATCATTTTAACCAATGAGAAACATTTGAATTACTATCTCAAAAATTATGCATGCCTAAAATCCAGACTTTGTGCAAGCTTTCTGCCACTGCAAAGATCAGATAATATACAAAAATGAACAAACAAAAAAAATGCAAACTCAGTAAAGGTATTTTTTTTAATTTTATTAGTATCTTGCTAATGATTCTTTTATAATTTAATATCATATTTTCATTGTCATGACTTCCCTTTTCTCCTGTTTTGCTAAATTGGCTAAAATGAGCCAAACATGCCCAGATTTGCCCCGGAGATTCATAGGGCCACACAAAACACTGTGTTTTTGCTTTGAGTTAGATGTACCATGGAGTATGTTTGTATGTCTTTCCAAGCAGAAGTATGGCATGAACTAATGCAGTCAATCTAGGACATTCCCTAAGAGAAAGCAGACTAGGAAATCTTCCATAGTCTGTGACTTAAGAACATGAGCAAGAGTACAAAAGCGAGGTTCCACTACTGAAAGGTTTCGTGCGCGCTGGCTTCGTATCACTGTGTTTGATGTATTACTACCAACTGGAAGCCATTGCTCTTTATGAAAAAACACTTTATCACCAAGAGCAAGGTACTTCAGTTACAAATATCACTCTCTTGTCTACCCGCCTTTCCATAGCTATCCAATGGCTCACACAGGGAAGATTCAACTAAAATAGCAAATGTCATCTTGAGTCATCATCAACCCATTGAAAACCATTTTGTTATAATTCAAAGGTGAGCCTGTGCTGAGTGAACACCTCAGAGCTAACACAGTACAGGAATGAAACAGTCATGCTTTAAAAAAGTTCCATCTGTACACGAGGTGATTATCACACTCACATCAGAAACCTGTGCACCATTCACAGATAAGAAACCCAGCACATTTAATACCTATAATCAGTGCCAATTCAGTTAATCTGCACAATCAGAACTCTGATTAGGATTAATGTTTTTTTTTCATCTGTGCATGGATTAAAATTAGAATTTAAGCGAGTTCACATGAGGTTATTTCAGCCAACAGAAAAATGTTCTTTGCTTAGTGAAGTAGATACATGTTTTCTTTTTGGTAGACTCATAGCTCCCCAATTTCTTTGTTCAGTGTCCTTTGGATGAAAACCCAGGCATCCGGGGGCAGCAGCAACAGCAGCATGTCCAGTTTTAATGCACAGTCACAGTGAGAAAGTTTTATACCTATAGCTATGATTTAGTAAAATAAATACAATTAAATGAACCAACTTTCAGAAAAAATCATTTGAACCCAAATCTTGCTACATTTGCTCAATCATATATTACTGGAATAATGACTTGACACATGCCAAATGGGAGTTTCATTTGTTTAAAGCATCTTTTAAAATTCATGAGTATGATGTAGCAAAATTGTTAGAAATGACCCAATTAATTTTCTACATATAAAATAACATGGATATGATTACTTTATTGTCTCCAGAACAAAACACAACTATTTATGAAAGCAAATTCAATCCATGATACAAGTAAAATCATTTGATAAACACA